GTTTTTAATGTATGTATTGGGGCTGATGTGTACTATACTCATTGCTGCCTCCCAGGAGTAATGAGCGATTGAGCGTAGTACTTATTTTGTATGTTTGTATTTGCTTTTGTATCGCACAGCCATGTTACACTGCTGCCTCAAATCCCATGTGTCCTCTATTAAGGGTTAAAAAGTATGTAGATGTTTAGAAAAATATAATTATAATTTGGTAAGAATCAGTTGTGAATGGAATGTAAAGTTTGACTAAATCTTACTGCAAAATCTAATCACCAGGTTCTTACTACTACTATGGGAAACTATGGGATACTAGAGGAGCTGTTGTGTCGTGGGAGGCAGGTTATCAAGGGAGATAAGTATGTGTCAAGTACACTAGTTCAGTTTAACCACAAGACATAGAATACATCACAAAATAGTGTTGTGTGTAATAACCATGAACAAGCTAGGGGTTTTATTGTACCACTGTGTGCAATTATATACCCAAAGAGGTTAGACAATGATTACAAATGTGGAGACTTGGGTGCAGTTACTCTATACTGAGTGACTCCAGGGGTACAGGGAAATTAATCATTGCCTAGTAGTTGTATCATATTGCTGATAGCTAACGGGACTGATAGTAATGTGGCATGTATTAAAGGGACACCATGTATTCATCCAGTGCCTGATTGCGGCCCTTTCTGAAAAAGACAAGGTAAGGTGATGGATCAGAGAATATGCATGGAGCAGAGGAGTATTTAGGGTTGGGCAGAGGGTTATAGTTGTCTCCAGACACTGGTCTAATGGGGTACCCAATGGAACCACATTCCTGCAAGGAGATCAAATAATCTCTCTGAATGGAACCGTGCCCCTTACTATAAGGAAAGGGCATGCGATCTGCAATTATAGATCACTTCCTAAGTTCTTTCATAGTCTTGGCATGAATGAAGCATTCAGAAGCACCAGAAGAGAAGGAGATTGTACAGTGATCTAGACCCACCAGTGCAAAACATAAGATAAGCTCACCAGACCACAAGGGAGCAGGATTAAAGCCCTCATTAAACCACGAAGGAGCCATCTCACTCTCTCTGAAAGGTAAGAATGCGGTAGGTAAACAAATTAATTTTTAATTACTAATGAAATGGGTTGAGGAGCAGTTTTAAAATTGGCTCACATGACACTTGCGCAACTTTTTGTCCCTGCTTTGTCCACACAGATAACAGGAAATAGTTCTAAACATTCTAAAGACCCAGAGCACACTCTCTAGTCTACTTTCGATGTACTGCTCTATGCTAGTACTTACTAGAGAGAAAGACAAAATTAAATCGAGAAATACCATTTTCGTAGCATATGTAGGGCAGAGACAACCATTTTTGTAACACATTCCTGACTATTGTTTACCACCGTAGTTCCAGGTACTTAGTGCAATGCTTCCTGATATAGATGCTTGTGTAAAAATGTATAATTGTTAGGTATGCTAGAGAATGATTGACAGAGCTTTGGAACTCTGACATATCTCTTTTATTCTGAGCACAGTCTAGTCATCTGCAACAATAACATGCAAAGTAAGATTCAGTCTTGTATGTATGCCGTAATAAATACAAGTATTTTCTATCAGAATATTTTAAAGTCCTAGTGGCTTATGTGCCTGTTTTATTGGTCGTCTGTAATATTTGTTAGGAGTTAAGGGCATTTCTTTGTTTTATAAAATTTGGCCATTTTCTTTAAGTTGGCCCCTGAACTGTAAATTCACATAATTTGTCAAGACCACAAGGTTTTTCATGATGTATACAAGACGAGGCATTGATTGCTGTTGGGCACTCAAAGAAATTCAGTGGCCCCAAAAATGATATCCTCTTTCCTATAGTAATATGAAAGTGGTAGTCTTTTTTTGGGCTCCAGTGGGATGAGTCTTCTGTGAAATGAGCAGCAGTGTATGATGCTAGGTGGTGTTGTGGTCGTGACCTAAATATGAATATTAATCTCTTAATACATAATAATTAAGCAATACGGAACAACATTAATATTTTTATAATTCATGGTATTATGGTCGAATATGTGGATAGAAAATACACAAAACGTTGTAATATTAAATGTATATTTAATATAACTATAACAAATAAACAGATGCTAGCAGAATGTCAATTTACTACAATTATGATACAATACAAATATAACTATAACAAATAAACAGATGCTAGCAGAATGTCAATTTACTACAATTATGATACAATACAAAACTACAACATATTACTTACAAAAGGTTGCTAAATGTTACACAAAAGGCTATTACAATTGCTAAATGTTACAATGGATTCATTTACTTACAAGGCCCCAGCCCTTTGGCTGGGGTTAAGTCAGAGCTGGTACTACATCTTAGGTTCAGTCAGTTACAGGCAAAGGGACAGAGTTTTCTCCTCCATCTGGTTTTATTCAGTGTAAGTAGGCTGGCCTGTGATGTCACTGCCAGAAGCACATGTCTTCCTACACACTCCACCTAGTGGTGCCCCCAAAGCATTACACTAAATATGCTTTCTTTATGATGTAAAGTAATTAATTAATAAATACCATTACAAACCACCCTTTGACTTATGTCATAAAACAAGCATTTATAAAACCAGTAAATTGTGAATCTTCCCCATTTTAACACTACCTGCCCTACAACAAAACCCACCTTTTGAAGAACGATACCCATTTACCCGTTAATTATTACCCATTAACATTTTATTGCTTATATAAATGTTCACCATTGAGCACATGCATTACCAGTTGGGAAGTAGGCACATACCCACCCTTATAATAACGAACAACTCAAACCATGTTTTATTAGATTAACCAATGATATTGTGTTCATGTGAGGATGTGTTTTGGAGCTTAATATAGTATTAGACACCACAAACTCATAACACCTATGAATCATGGCACAGACCGACTCGATTTCTGTAGCCTCTGGCTGGTCTGTGTGCCTGGAATGTTCACAAACATTAGTCCTGGAAACTGGATACTCTATTCTTCGACAGTCTCATAGAACATACGCATGGAGACAGGGATGAATGAAACAGTTCATGTGATCAAGGACTTTTGTGTGTTTGTGGTCACATTGTTTTGTTTTTTCTTTCTTTATTCCATTAACCACCTTGACGTAACAGTTTCCTGCTCCTGATGCATTTTGTTCCGACTCTCACCACTCTTAGCTGCAATATTTTTTCTCCTTACAGCAACAGTTGAGCATAGTGTCCAGTGCTTCTTCTTCTTCTGCTTAAAATATCCTTGCTTGAAAGTTCTTGAATGAAAACACAGGCAATGACGAACACAAACATAAATAATAACTGTGCCAATCATCACAAGTACCATTTGATTGTGGTGTCTTAACCATATATTTTTTTTTTTCCTATGGCGTTTGGATAAATACCTACACACCTCTCTTCACATCCAGCACACTCCTGATTCACAGAGAAACACAATATCACTGCTGTATCTACCAATTTAACCCAAACACTCGTTATTACTGCTGCATTTACCAATTTAATCTAAACACTCGTTATCACTGCGGTATTTAACCAATTTAATCTAAACATTAGCCAAAACAATTACATTCCTATTTACCACCCTTCTATTTAAACATGTATAGATAACCCAAAATGCCTACTTTCTCTTATCCCTCTTATCATTCTTCCGTTTTTTTTTTTTTGAACTGCAACCACTCATGCACTTTACACAGACACAAATCAAGCACCTACTGGACAATGGGGTTCCCTCGTTAGAGCCCTCCCACCCCAGTTTGGTTTACACAAAAATACCCCCTGGTCCCTATGGGTCAATTCTCCCCTTTCCCAGGCAAGCATACATACATACATACAACAATAATACATAAGGGTTTCAATTGCAATACAATCACTAGAAATAAGAGAATAGTATGCACAAAATCATAGCATAGACATGTTAAATAGACAATAAAATAAAACATTCAATAGCTCATCAAAGGTCAACATTTAAACACTGGTCTCCATCTGATATTCTATCTGTGTTCCAATGTCCACCTCTGGTTTCTGCTACATCTGAAAAGGTTAGGAAACAGATCAGGATTACTTTCCTAGTCACTTATAGCGTATACTGCAAATATTTTACTTAGAATATATATATATATATATATATATATATATATATATATATATATACACACACAGACATGTAAACACATTCCTTCAGCTTTTCATTTTATAAACAATTTTTTTCAACAAGATAACTTTCTTAATTTTTTTTTTTTTTTACAAGGCTCTTAAAAAACAATAAGCTAATAGCTGCTTTCTGCATCTTCTCTGCAATTCAGGAAACACATTTCTAGCCAACCTAAACATGTTTAATAACTCTCCACCCTTTGGTTAAATTATAGAGGAGTGAACCACAACACCTCTTCCGCCTCTGAAAGGATATAGGTCAATATGTCTCAAAGTTCAACACTTCTGACAGCTATGAGTGACTCCCTATTAATTTCTAGCCTTTCCACGGACATGCTTGCACCTCGCGGCTAAGGGCCTGCACAACTAACTACCCTGTGATGGCAGTGGCTTTCCGCATGGGGGTGACCGCCCCTGCAAAATTATAGAGGAGCAAACATACAGCAGTCTCTTTTCCGACTCGATTAAAGGTTCTGTGCCAATATGTCTGCAATTTAACCAGTACACTCACGTATCACTTATTGTATATTTCCTGGTCTCTCAGGAATTTCTATTAAATAGCATATCCCCTTCCCAGGGCAATATACAACAAAAACTAGTCACCAAGGGTCTCTATGGTCATGATAGGCCACCCTACCACTAGTGTAATACGCCCTTTTTTTAAATATATTTCCTGGTCTCTCAGAGATTTTGCCTATCCCTTTCCCAGAGCAATATATATAAACAATTACAAATAAGTTACAAAACGCTACTTATAAGTAATACAGGGTTTCAAATAATAATACAGGATAGAACTGCACAACAACTATTGGGTATGCTCCCCCTTATCCGGACACGTTTAAATACCCCCTAGCTCAGGTTCCCCACCCGCTACTGTAACTAAAATCACAGCCCACGTTATGGAGGTTCACCCGCTAGGCAGATACACCCTAATTCAAAGCATGGAAATATTAAAATCAGTTATAGATGGCTTCTAAAATAATATAAATCTTAATCTGAGCCCCTACACTTACTTTGTTAAAAATGCTAACTTGTTAAAATATTCAGACTAAATAGGACAAAGGAATTATTTTACCATTTTTTCAGTTCATTTGTTACCAGTTCCTGCATATGTCCAGTAATTCCTTAGTCCTGGATAATAAAGCTGAAAAACACTCCACAAATTGATTAGCTTAGGCAATTACATTTACAAAACAATGCAGTTTATTTTTTCTCATACAGGCAAGACTACCCACCCCCAACAAGGACAAATTCTCCCCCAGCTGTAGCTGAAAAGCATGGTCACACAGCTGTTAGAAAGGTGGTCTCTCCTTCATGAGTCAAAATGTCAGGTATAGCATGGCATGTAATTTATCGCCGGAACCCACTTCCGGGTTCACGGCGCTCAGCCCCGCCCCTTTCTCTGACGCGGTCCCTCCACGATACTTAGGAGGACCGCGCCAGATTCAAAGGGCTGGATTATTCGCACAGGTGCTGCATGAAGATCAGCTGCTCTACTTCTGATCCTACCTGCTCCACTTCTATACCTCGGCTAGTAAACGGATTTCTACCTTCTCCACTTCTCGACCTCGGCTTGTAAACGGATTTCTACCTTCTCCACTCCTAGACCTCGGCTTGTAACTCTGAATTCTACCTTCTCCACTCCCAGACCTCGGCTTGTTAAAACGGACTTCCCCACTCTCCACTCCTAGTTCTCAGCTTGTTGAAACGGACTTCTAATTTCTCCTTCATTGGGTGAATTAACCCTTCCAGTGCCAGAACTGCCTTTAAGTTAAGTAATACTTTTACCAAACAAGTCAATTACTATTATTTATATTACACAGTATCTAAAACTCACTAAAGTGTCACTTTGTCTAATTATTCCTCTTACTCATAAGGGATTGCTACAAAGCCTAATTTTACCTACATGGATATTTAAAGGTACAGTGACCATAGTTTCATACCAATATAAAAGGAGGTGAACCTTATTGTTGTTGCAACCAAGAAATGCTGCAGTTGAGTTCCAATTAAAGAAATATTACAAAATAAGTATTACAGAATAATCCAGCCCTATTCAATGGAACCAGCAGATATTAACTCTCAAGTTTCTGCCCTAACCAATAGAGTGGATACGATTGCTCAAGGGTTACAGGAACTGCAAATTACAAATGAGAGAATATTAACCTATGTTAGAGACATTCAAGGTCATCTTCCTCATGCCGCTCTTCAATCGGCTGGTGATCCTGCTGTCTGTAATCCAGAAAAATTTCATGGAGATAGAACAAAGTACAGAGAGTTTTTGAATTCTTGCAAACTACTAATTGCTTTAAAACCTAGATCTTATCCCACCGAAAGATCCAAAGTCTGTTCAGTGATCTCTTTTTTAAGAGGTGAACCTATGGCATGGGCCCATTCCTTTTTGGAAAATGATGATCCCATATTGGATTCATTGGATGAGTTCTTTGAAGCTATGTCTTTATTATATGAAGATCCTTCTAAAACTACTACTGATGATTATCCTTCTACCAAAATAATAGGAATCCTCTCTTCTCTTCATGATGACATAAAGAATTTGAATCAGAAGGATCTTGAACTTCCCAAAACACCTATACTAACAAAAAAGGATGGTCTATTTTATTTTAAAAATAGAATTTATATTCCTCCCATTCTTAGGAATAAATTACTTAAGATGGTTCATGATTCCCCCCTAGCTGGACATCCTGGAATAAAGAAAACACTTGAACTAACTTCACGATATTATTGGTGGCCTCGCCAGGATAGAACCATTGCATTATATGTCAAAACATGTCCTATCTGTCAAAGGTCTAAACCAGAACATAATCAACCTTTTGGATTACTACTTAACTTACCTATTCCAGAAAAACCTTGGCAATCCATTTCTATGGATTTTATCGTTGATCTTCCACCTTCTCAACATTTCACCACTATTCTTGTCGTTGTGGATCGCTTCACAAAAATGTCCCATTTCATTTCTTTAAAAAAATTACCCTCCTCTGTAGAATTGTCTAAGGTCTTTATTGACAATATTGTGAAACTTCATGGTCTTCCTGAAGAAATTATTTCTGATAGGGGACACAATTTACCTCCAAATTCTGGAAAGAGATGTGTCTCTCCCTTCAAATTCAACGCAAACTCTCTTCCGCTTATCATCCCCAAACTAATGGGCAAACAGAAAGGGTTAACCAATGTTTGGAACAATATCTTCGATGTTATTGTTCATACCTCCAAGATGACTGGACCACATGGTTACCTATGGCCGAATTTTCTTACAATAATACCATTCATTCTAGTACGAAAATGACTCCTTTCTTCTCCAACTATGGTTTTCATCCGTCTTCATTCCCCATCCAAACCATTACTTCATCCAATCCTACTGTTACATCAAAAAATGAATTTATGTCTTCTCTATTTTTCAAATTACGGGAGAATCTTCAACTCGCCCAAAATAACCAGAAAAAGTTTTTTGACAATAATAGAAGAATTCCCCCTCCTTACAAGGTAGGGGATCTTGTCTGGCTCTCTTCAAGGAATATTACCACAAGCCGTCCTTCAAAGAAATTGAGCTCTCTTTTTCTTGGTCCCTTTCAAGTAATTACTATCATTAATGATAACGTTGTTAAACTAAAACTTCCTCCAAGTTTTAAACTTCATCCAGTATTCCATGTCTCCTTACTTAAACCACACATCCCTGATCCTTTTTATAGGGAAATAGTAACAACTCCTGAACCTATCATTGTCCAAGGTGAAGAAGAATATGAAATTCACAAAATTTTGGA